AGGAAAGAAATTAATGAAATGGCAGTGTAGTTCTGTTCGTATAAGACCTACGATTACGACCGGGACCAGTTTCTGAAGTAAGTAATATCCGTGTTTCATTGGGTAGAATAATGAAATATAGCAAGTGTTTTAATTACCACATCAAAATGGATAAGTCTTCCTGAAAACTAATAATCTTAGAATAAACAAGAAGTTTGGATAAATGGTTTGAGTTAGAATTGCCTAATTTAAAGTGTTAAAATTGGCTTCAGCTTCTAAAGATGATAATACAATATCGCAACCTTTGCACAAGTTTCAAGAATTAAGCTTTTGATTGCTGCAGCTGCAATACTTACTGCAGTTTGTTCTTGAAGTTTAGTCAAGTTTTCTTCTTACCAGTTACAGCTCATATGTTTTCTCAGTGAGCTCCTTTAAAGGCAAATACATCGAAAACGTTAATTAAAACAAACTTGTGATTATTTGGCTTGGTTTTCTATCTGACAACGATTAATTGCTGGATGCTCGATGGTGCGAGAAATGAATAAAGCTTTTTTTTCAATACCGGAAGGACCAGTTATAATAATATAATAACTGAGCAAAACCTTGAATAAAGCTGTGAATATAATTTTCTGTCATACTTTTTCAGTCACATTCCTCTTATTCATGATCAGCGCCTATATATAATTTCTTGTTTGGAATAAAACTTGCTCTAATTTCAAAATGAAATCAAGAGGGAAATCCTGACTCCTCTCGTCATGCCATCTTCTTTGGGGCAGAAATGACAGGCAATTGCAATATTCGAAATGGGTTTTTTGTTTTAAATCTAATAATACCTCTTGCTATTTGTGCAAAAATCAGTAATCAGTAATCAGTAATTACGAAGGGATAGTAGTCTAAACTGCGCTCTTACTTAATTCTATATTGTGATATTTTGTCCGGTTGAAGCAAAGTACTCAAGATAGACGAGTCCTCCATGTTTTTTTTATGTAAAGCATTGTGCCTACCAGGACCTTCTATCGATTTGTTTAGTTTCTATTTTGACAGATTTCATGGTGAATTTGTTTTGGAAGTTATTGGATAGACTTTGGAAATGACTGAAAGGTTCCGGCAGAATTGACAAAGTTCTAAGTATTGATAATTAAATAGCGTTGCAAAGAAGCGCACCTAGGCCTTTCAGAGGAACTATAAAGCAGATCTCACCGATGGCTGGTGTGTGCCTCTTTCAGTTGACCATTGCAGCTCTCAGTATTCTCCTGGGATTCTTATTTGTGGCGGCAAACACAGACTTTTGCTCAAGCGTTTATGAAACTCAAGTTGGTAAGTGAACACCTGTAAATTTTAAAGATGCTCTTCATTCCTTCTACTGACAGAATTTTGATTTCCTTTCTTCGGCTTATAGACCATGCCTTACTTGGTCATGCCATGGAAACGATTGCTGTCGTTGATGAGTTGAAATGCCAACTTAAATGCGTCGAAAATAACAGTTGCAAGTCGGTTAATGTTCATCTGGATGGCAACAATGCACAACGACGCATTTGTGAGCTAAACAACAAAACCCGACAGATGAAACCAGGAGATTTTAAATGGAAGAAAGGATCTACATACTATGGCTCTGTTCAGGTCAGTTGAAAAATGCCGTACGTTCACATATTCTAGTTTTAATTAGTTTACTTTACCCGAGGTAACTTGTTCTATAGGGGTCTTTGAGAATAATACAAGTGCTAGGTCGACTTGTATGGTCACAAAGTATGGTCACAACAAGTGGCCATAGAACGTTTTCACTCTCGCAATATAAAATCAAATCGAAAACCGTTCAGTGGATAAAGTCAAAAAATTGCGATATTAAACGTTTTAGATGTGTGCGTTGTCCCATTCTTCAGATATTCGTCGAAATGTTCCGTAAAAATTTACAGATAGATATAGCCGGAATGTTTATTGAGTACCAATCCTTGCAGTACAAGACTGACAAGACAGAGCAAACCGCCCATAAGCGGTGAAGACAAGACAGAACTGAGTATGGAGCCTTCATGTTGGTGTCCCTCCTAGTAACATCAAAACAACAATATGGCGACAGGAAAATAAACGGTTATCATGTAAATAAACCTTGTTGTAACTACTTAATTAATCGACCTCCACGGTTTATTTCATACCTTTACTCAACCCAGGCCTCTTGCATCGATATTTTCCATGAGCAGCGTGGACAGTGTCATCCGGGATACAAGGGCACAAATTGTGAAAAACGTGAGTGGTGAATATTTTTCTTGCGACAATTCTTTTTTTATATAATTCGATGACGCAGTTTGAATTGTGTCACAAAAGGTGTCCGCACACTGTACAATGCTTTTAAGAGGATTATCATTTCGGTGTTGATTTCGTGACGTTGACGGACTTTTAAAATGATTTCCTTTTTGTGTTTTACAAGAGCATAAAGAGTGGTATCCACTTATGGACGGTTTGCTGTTGGAATTTATATCTTATACACGTTCTGTTTCTTGTCGCTATAGAGGGTATGAATGCCAATCAGCCTGCTCATTCCTGTAAGGACATCCGGGACTCAGGAGACTCCAAAGGAGACGGCGAGTACTGGATCGACCCTGAGAAGAGTGGAAACCCTTTAAAGGTCTTCTGTGACATGACAACTGACGGAGGTAAGTCAAGGATAATGATATCAAGAGAAATTAGTAATAAAACTTTTTAAAAGCCAAGGAACAGCGCACAAAGGTCCCAGTTTCCAGCAGCACTTAACAAATTAACCGCAGCTTTTCATTTGTCTGTCCTTTCATT